CAGAACTGTATGAGGCAGCATTAACAATTGGATCATCATCTGCAACATGTGAAAGAGTTTTTCTGCTCTGACAATTGTGCTTACAGACCTCCGTCAGTCGATATCTCATGAAAGACTGGCGAACTTGATCCTCATCGGGTTTGAGAAGTGCATCCTTGATTATATATGTCAGAGTGTTGATGGAAAGCATAAGATATTGAGAAACTTCAATTCTACTCAGAATAGACTATGACAGTTGTTTTAATACCAAAATTTGGACTTGATTTACATTGCTTTAATTAATTACAAGGGTTCACAGTTGTTTTACAGTTTTACAGCGACTACAGTGGTTTTAATAACAAAATTTGGACATGGTTTACATTGCTTTATTTAATTACAAGGGTCCAATCAACTTTCCCTGAGACTGACTCATGCTTTCTGTTTTGATTAACCTATCAGTTCATACCTAACTTAAGCTCTTGTTGTCGGATATCAAAGATTTTTCATGAGTGAATTCGCTTATGAATTAATTAGGAACATCAATAAATGATAAAGAAAATTTATAACGAAAACTGAAAATGATTACAATGTACTCGCGCCCTTTGAGTTTGTCATTGCACTCTCAATGTGTGTGTCCTGGCTACGACACTGTCCTTTCAGCCGTGGGGGCGTTATAATGTGTCGAGCAACCCACTATTCGTTGGTAAAAGAGTAGCCCAAGAGTTGGCAGTGGGTGGCGATGACTAGCTGCCTTCCCTCTAGACTTACACTGCTAAATTAGGGATGCAGATAGCCCTCGTGTAGTTTTGCGTGAAATTGAAATTCAAAAGAAACCAAACCTCTATCACACAATTCTCTCTCTCTCTGGCAGCAAATAGTACGTCTTTGTTGCAGTGAGTACTTCTATGTGTTGAACAAGCCATTATTTCTGTAAAAATATTAATTTAGAATCTTTTCCAGTAAAGAGATCAAGCAAGGACTAGTATGTATGTTAATAAAAGTAGAAACTCTGCAATAGATCCTGTGAGCAAATAAATGTTCCAATACTGAAAGAAATCTCATATTCTTTATTTTACAATGGCATCACCACATTACGTGTTATCTTTCACATCATTCGTCGGTAGAATGTACAGACGACAAACACTCGACTATGGAAAGAAAGTATTCGCATTTTTGTGGGCAAAATACACAGCGTGGTCACAAGTAAATAGACACCACCTTTTCAGAAAAAAATGAAATTTTTCAGTTATATTCACATGAATTGATATATTTATAATTTAATTAATATCTAGTAGATCTTCCTTTCGCTTCGTGGAGTTCGTTGATCCTTTGGGGCATCGTGAGAATCATCTCGTCAATTTTAGATTGTGGGATTTTCGCCCGCTCTTGCTTCAAAACGTAGAGTAGATCACTCTTCGAAGTTGGTTTTTTTTGGTTGTTTCTTGAGTTGCCGGTCGAATATGGCCCAGAGGTTTTCGATGGGGTTCATGTCAGGAGATTGGCTCGGGCAGTGCAACTTCTGGATACCATTTTCTTCCTGCCACATTTGGGTGTTTCTAGCGGT